TGCAGCAAGATGACTTATAGAAATAATTTTGTATGCAGATAAACATGCACCATGCAGGACCCAGCTGGGCATTAGTCTTTGTGAGTGACCTGTGAGGCAGCTGAGCATGGCTTCTATCAACACCAGCTATGTATGGGATCAGGTGTGTTACTCCTTTGATATAGAAAGTAATAATAACAATAATCAATTAATCAAAAAAAAAGAAAAAAAAAGAAGAAAAATACTAAAATAAATTATGGGAAATAAGGCTTCTGAGTCATCTGAGGGATGAAATTTAGTCATTGATACTCTGAGGTACATTGAAAAGGTGTGTTAACATTCACAAATGGAGGCAGAAAGTGATGACACGAACACACACAATAATGTATGCAGTGTTTATTTGCACATATATGGGATATATCTTTTAAAAAAAGGGCACTTGTTCTGGGCTCTAAACTCACTCTGTTGTTTGGTTTGAACCTTGTGTCTATGAGGTGGATCTTTTCAGGAGTAATAACTAGGAAGGTTATCAATGGGTTGTAATTCATTTAGTTGATGACAGTGGGTATTTACTTACTTTCACAAACAACTGTTTTCTGAATTCAATGACAAGAGTATTATCTATGGATAATCACTCATTTGCAGAGATGACAGTGGATATCTATTATTCTGCTTTATTTGGGTATTTACTCGTTTGCATTTTATTACAGTGGGTGTTTACACAGCATTCATATCTATTCATTTGAAAGACAAGGACAGTGTCGTATCACTAATCTGATGGCTGGATAAGAGGGGGGGGACGTGTAGATAACAAAAAGAAATATTATCTTCTATCTGCCAAAAAAAAGTGTCACAGCAGTAGATCTGATGTAAAGCAAAATAAAAATTGCCAAACAAGTGGAGTTTTAGCAGAGAGAATGGTGGAAGCATATGGAAGATAACATACCCAAGTGTTACAAATACAGCACATGTACCAAGCTACTTTGTACAAACATCTTGAATTTGCAGCCATGATTTTTCTTTGCTTTTCAACTCATATCTTAAGAAGTAGGTTAAGCTAAAACATGCAACCTAACCAGCTTGAACTAAAACATGATCTCAGCAATTATATACACAACTTAATTGAATACTAGTGTGAAAAAAATAATAGTGATAATAATAAATAAATAAATAAATGAAGAACAATAAAGAGCTCAAAAAGTGTTTTAGTTATGATGGACAAACACCAGATAGGATAATTTACAGCATGATTTTTTGTTTTTTATATACAAAGACATTATGCTACTTAAAGAATAGAGGTATGTTCCTCCCATTTATATTTACAAATAATTCTGTATAAAAAAAAAATATATATATATATAACAAAAAATATGCTGTAAAAGCAGTGAAGAGGATGCTAAACTAAAAAAAAAAAAAAAAAGCTTGACATGCAATTTTCAGCCTTAAAAAATAAAGAAAAAAAAATCTGCACAATATCTGACAAACTGAGAAATGAGCCAAAGAACCCATACTCACCTTGGCGTGTGGGGTCCATGCTGTTCGGCATGATTGGCTGTCCTGGAGGCTGCGGCATGACAATCACATTCATTAATGGTGCAGTTTTACAATCAACAGCATATCATCTTTGTGGGATTTGTGTTTCCCTTCATACTAAGTTCAAATCATTGACATCCAAACATGATCTTTATAAACTCTGTATCACTAAACCAATTTCCTTGAATATCAAATCTTTCACAAAAAAAAAAAAAAAAAAAAAAAAAAAAAAACATAAAATGTAACACTGATAATCCACACAACTTCTAAAATATGGGCTGACACTGAATTCACATAAATGACTTTACCTTAAATTTAGTACCATATACTAAACATACATCCCTTGCACTTTAATTGTACATCTAGCCACTTTGTCGCAGAATCTAAGACAAATTAGTTGTCTTTTGGTTCACAGTTGCATATGCACCTGATCTTACCTTCACAAATGGTGCCTTCCAAAACTCCTAAGACTTTCCTTACATGACTGCTTTGTATTTGACAAACACCATTCCGTAACTATCTTTTTTCCGGGCGTCTTGACTGGTCGGCTTTGCATTTCTAAGTTCCTGCTGCTAATATTAAAACCTAATTTCTCTCCTAATTTTTTTCTGTGTTTTGAATTTTTTCTCTAAGTTTAGCTTCTAATTACTTACATTAGTAAAAGAGCTTCTGATTTCCCAAATATATGAACTTTCAGCCTCATTAAGAAAACCACACTGCAATTCTACTTTTTAATTAATTGTAATAACATTCTGGGGCTTTTTCAAACAACAACAAAATAAAAAACACATCAGAAATAACTGCTCTATACTTTCGTGGATCACTCCATATCCCTGAGCGACAGTTTTACTCTATACCTCCTCCATCACATACATACCCCGTTGAAGTCATTGGGCATCTGTGGCATCCTAACTCCTGGCCGTGGCCCTCCTGGGTACCTTGGAGACATGAAGGGCTGCAAATAAATAAATCATAGTCATTAGTGAACAATAGGGCAACTGTCTTGAAAAAGGAGTCATTAAAGAGAACATTTTATTAATGAAAGCCTTCATACACAAGCAAACTAATATAATAATAATAATAATAATAATAATAATAATAATAATAATAATAATAATAATAACAATAATAATAAAAAAAACGCCTCTCAAATGCATACATAATAAACAATCCTAGCAATCAAGAAAAAATAAATACAATAGACAAAGAAAAAAAAAATCCAGCACAGTGATTAACATTCGCACAAGAAGAGCCGAGTCGCGGGCATGTTCCCTACACCCATAAGCGCTCAAGGATGGCCCGGGTAAGTAGGACGGGCACGGGAGGCAGCCTGGCTCGGGCGCTCAGTCACTGCCCGGCCGAGAACACGAGCGGAGGGAGGCTGGCCACGCTCTCGGCCACGGGTTCCTCACGGTGTCGTTTGAGTGAAGTCCGACTGAGGCAATCAATTCACTTATTTTGTATTAGTTTCTGTATTAGCAAAAGATGCAATAATTTTTTTCCCCACCTAACCCCCTGAAAAACTTATCATATTTTATTCGATTTATTTGATTCCGGTCACGTCTCACGGGAAGATCATATTCCCTCAAAATGTTTACATGATGTTTTAGTGTGTATCTGATAGCAGACGTTATCATGAGTGAGCGATGTGATATGCAGTTCGTTCTGGTTAACCATGTGGTCGACGGCGACATGCGACGGCCGATCAAACCAAACCGCTGGACTGAAATGTGTATCGCCCGCCGCCCCCACTCGGCACTGGGCGGTTCTTGCATTCACGAAAACACTTCATTCACGTGAGTATTGTGTTTGTCTTTTGTTTTTTTGCTTTTTATTCTGAGATATACCATGCATGTGAGAAATGACACGATGATTTTTTGCATATTTAATATATTTCAATTTATTGAAATCCGCTTCGTAGAAACGACTGGACTGGCCCGTCTTCTTGTTCCAACATTCCTCTACTTTTTAGCTAATCGACTTCTGCTTTAACAAGGGCCAATTTGCCGTTATCTCTCTCTCTCTCTCTCTCTCTCTCTCTCTCTCTCTCTCTCTCTCTCTCTCTCTCTCTCTCTCTCTCTCTCTCTCTCTCTCTCTCTCTCTGTTCCTTTTCTATTTGTTCTCCCCATCCCCTATCCATTCTCCTTTCCTCTCTCCCTCTTCCTATCCTTTCCTCTCTCTCCCTGTCCTGCCCGTTTCCCTCTCTTTCTAAAATATGTTTGGCCAAGGGTAGCAGTGGGTGAAGGGTGTGTTTTAAACAGAGAAGGCGGGGGAGGGGGAGCTTGTAATTGGATGCCATAAACTGGTCGTCACTCACTAATTGGGTTGCGGGTAACAGCAAGTTGCCGACACGCATGCTAATGTTTACAACGCGCCTACATCGCTCCGGTCCTTCGACGCCCACAGCTACACCCACCCTTACAGCAACACACAGATGGACAGGCTGGCAGAATGAATGACATGCACACATTCATTCACACACATACGTGCACACACACACACACACACACACACACACACACACACACACACACACACACACACACACACACACACACACACACACACACACACATACACACACACACACGCAGATTGAAAGAACGATAAAAGAGAGCTTAAGTAAAATCAACACAATTAACTAAAACCAGACACCTCACAACAGAGAAGTCCACTAAACATTTATAAGCTCCACCGATAAACTATTTCTTTATTATTATTTACTACTATTAATATAAAGGTACCATTATGGCCGTTATCTATTATTGTTGTTAGGAATATAACTGTTGTTATTATTAATCACCATCACCCATTATTAGTCACTGTAAAGACTTTTCGGGAAGCGTTAATAGGCCAATAATATCAACCACTATCGCTTCCATTGCTCCTTAAACCGCTTCGTAACCTAGGCGCTTCAAGTATCAATTCTTTCATGTTGTTCATTAACTTTTTGTTTATTTGCCTCCATGTATTTGTCTTTTTTACCGAGAGTCAGTACCTTCTATCTCATCATGTGGTATTTTCCAATATTCGTTTTTTTTTTAATTAATTCTTTCTAGTCCTCCTTTCTTTTGTTTTGATTTGTTTTATTTTATCTTCAGTTTCCCCTTTGTCGCCTTTTTTTCTTTCTTTCTTCCCCTCGCGTCATTTACTTCCTTATCATTATCGTCCCTTTATCCATTTCGTTCTTGTTACCTCCTTCTCTGTCTATTTACTTTTCCCCTCATTTCTTCCGCGACCTCTTTCTGATTATCTGGCGTAAAATCCCCTTCATCGATTTTTCCCTCTTATAATTCTCGTCTTCATTCCTCCTCATCTTCCCCTTCCCCTCGATCGCCCCCTCCCCCCTCCCCTCCCCTCCCCTCTTTATTATCATGTCGATCATCAGCATAACCACCCTTTTCCTTCCTTTTCTCACTCACTGTCATCACCGTCACCAATGTCTTCTTTTCCTCTTCCTTTTCCTCCATCTCCTCCTCCTCCTCCCTTTCCTCCATCATCTACGCCTTCCCTTAATCTTCCTTCCTTCCTTCCAACCCCCCCCTTCTCTCACTCTTCTCTCTCTCCTCTCCCCTATATATTCTCCTCTCCTCTCCTCTCCTCTCTCTTCTCTTCTCTCCTCTCATCTCTTCTCTTCTACTCTCTTCCTCATCCCTCTCTGCCTCTCCCCATCTGTCTCCCACTCCCTCTTCCTCTTTCCCGTACCCCTCAACTCTCCCTTCTCCCTCTCTCTCTGTCCCTGTCCCATCTCCGTCCCCGTCTCTCCCGTCTCCATCTCCCTCTCCCTCTTTCCCGTCTCACTATCTCGCTCTTCCGTCTCCGTCTCCGTCCCCTCTCTCCCGTCTCCTTCTCTCTCTATTCCGTCTCCCTCTCCCTCCGCCTCTCTCAAGTCTCCTTCTCCCTCTCCCTCTCTCCCGTCTCCTTCTCTCTCTATTCCGTCTCCCTCTCCCTCCCCCTCTCTCCCGTCTCCTTCTCCCTCTCTCCCGTCTCACTCTCCCCCTCTCCCCCTCTCCCGTCTCACTCTCCCCCTCTCCCCCTCTCCCGTCTCCCTCCCCCTCTCTCCCGTCTCCCTCTCCCTCTCCCTCTCCCTCTCTCCCTCCTCCGAGAGTGATGGAGGGTGTAACACAACATGGCCCGTGTGTCCGCCCCTTCCCTCGCTGCCGGCCGGTGCGCGCCGGGTCCCCAGCGTCCCCCTGCTGGCGTATGTTCATCACCAGCAGGAATACTCGCTCATTATGGTCCTCCTGGCAGAGTGGCAGCAGCCGAGGGGAAGCAGGGTGAGTCCCTCGGCGACCGTCCCTTCGCTCTCACTACTGGCACTGTTTTAACTTTTTTTTTTAACTGTGGTTTGTTCCTCTTCCTCTCCCCTCCCTCCCCGCCTCCCTTTTGTCCGTCAACGTTTTATTTCGTCTTGTGTCTCATGCGCATAAAGAGGGGGGGAGGGGGGCATGAAACTTGCGGCGTCCGTGACCCTTCCCCGCCCTTCACTCACTCCCTCACTCCGTCCGCCCTGTCGTCGACTCTTGGGTGTTCCTGCCCTTAAAGTTCGTTTTTAAGATTTGAAGATTGCACAACGCCTCCCCTCCCCCTGCCGCCCCTCCCCCCTCCCCCCCTCCTCCTCCTTCCATCCTACGTATTCACGAGGATATTCGGACCCACAAGCAACACCCTCCGCTTGCATAATCGCTTGTTTCCTGGCTTGCACGTGGGAGAGTCGGTTTGTTTATTTATTTTATCGCTGGGGCAAATTGGTAAATAATAACTGCACTGGTAAGGAAAACAAAAAATAAAAATATTATGAACACAAAAAAAAAAATATTATATTCTCTTTCTCTCCTTCTTCCTCTTCTTCATATCCGTCTCTGTCTCCCTTTTTATGTTCCTTCCTCTCCATCTCCCTCTCCCTTTCTCCCTCCCCTTCTCCTTCTCCCTCTCCCTCTCTCTCTCCTTCTCCCCCTTCCTCTCCACCTCTCCTTCTCCCTCTCCACCTCTCCTTCTCCCTCTCCCTCCCCCATTCCCCATTTAGAAAGCGCTTTCACGTACAATTTTCCCCCATTTTACAAACTCAAGAGAACTGAACACCGACACCGAGTGCCCTTTCGAGCACCACGCGGGGCTTGACATCACTGAACCGTCAGTGGGGAAGAAGTCGGCCAATGTCACAGTCATCATTCCATATTAGACTTCCGATTCTGATGATATTCGAGTCCACTTCCCGGTCAAGAAGCGGCTAAAAAGGCTCCTGGGGTCTTGGCTGATACTCGGAATTGCTGTCAGTTAAGGGCGCTGCTTGTCGCTGCGATAGATGATGGACAGTGAGGTTGCTTTGGTGTGCGAGGGAAATGTGTACGGGGGGATAGTTTACAAAATGTTGTACGCTTCGTGTCCCAGGATTTGGCAGATTCTGTCTGTCTGTCTGTGTCTGTCTGTCTGTCTGTCTCTCTCTCTCTCTCTCTCTCTCTCTCTCTCTCTCTCTCTCTCTCTCTCTCTCTCTCTCTCTCTCTCTCTCTCTCTCTCTCTCTCTCTCTCTCTCTCTCTCTCTAGCTCCCCCACCTCCCTTCTTCCATCTGTCTACTTCCCTCCCAACGGTCACCTTATCATTAAAGCACTACAGCGCATTACCCGAAGAGAGGCAGAATCTGGCCAGTGTCTCCGGATCTCTCTAAATGCTTATTATGACGTCACCGTCGACACACGCCAGTGCCTCCTGCCGTCCGTCTCCTTATCCTATTGCTGCATCTCGTATGGGCCTTGCAGCTCAAGTCGCGGTCTCGTGTTCTCCGTCTGTCTGTTTGTCTCTCCTTTTTCCTCTGGTTTTATCACTTTATTTCTTTGCTGTTCTCTTCCCTGCCCACTTTCCCTTCCCCTTCCCTCTTCCTCCTTTCCTCCCTAACCTCTCCTCTCTCCATTCCCCTCTCTTCACTTCCCCTTCTCCCCTGCTCCATCTACGTTTATCCCTTCACTTCACTTTTGTTCTCTTCTTTCCCT